CTGTAGAATAGATTTATTATACCCACCTCACAAGTGCCCAGCACAGGGCAGAGAACTTACTCAAGAAACATGGATTTCTGGGCCCGGCAGGTGGCAGAATGGTCCCATCACTGGACGCTCAGGTAGTCGACTATGGTTTGAGTCCCGGACTCAGTGGCTTGAAACTCACTGGGCACATGTGCGTGCGTGGTTGCCCAAAAAATCCCAAGAGGAGAATGGAGGAGAAGGGATTGTGGCATGGTTATCCCCTTGGGGTGGGGTATGATTTCTTGCTTTCTGTCTGTCTGTCTCTCCAGCAAACACACATGCCCTAAAGCAAAAATCTTTCTCTTAAAGAAAAATACACGGGTTGCTAGCTTTTACCCTGTAGGTGTTAGATGACCTTTGTGATTTGGATGCCAGGTCCTTTGAGACACAGAGAGAGAAAGTGAGAAGTCACACCCCGGGGGAAATCCCTTCCCCATTATCCTCTTGAGATTGGGGCACTCATGCCCACATGCGTCCTGCTTCACTTTCTTTTTTCTTTCTTTATTTAAAAAATAATTATTTTATGTGACTTTATTTTATTTATTTTAATTTGACCAGAGAGGGACAGTGTGTGTGTGTGTGTGTGTGTGTGTGATAGAGAGAGAGAGAGAGAAACTGTGAGAAAGCAAGCTACCAGGTCCAGGACTCAAACCTCAGTAGCCCATGTAGGAGTCCAGCACCCTTAACCACTATACCCACTGCCAGCCCCCCTTTTTTTTTTTTTTTTTTTTGAGAAATCTTTGCTATAGGGCACCTGTGCCTTCCAGAGAGAGACAGAAAGAGAGAAATCACCCCCTCCCCCCCAGGTGGGATGGCCTTGCCGCAGTTCCTTCTTCTCCATTCTCCTCTCCAGATCTTGGGCGCGCACACACATGCGCCTGGCATCTGGGTCTAGGTCTTGAACTGTGGAGCAGCCATGTGGGAGTCCAGCGCCTTAACCACCATGCCACCTGCTGCCCAACAAATGTTTTTTTAGAGTGCTAAAACCACTTGACTAGGAAATGAGTGTTTTTTACTCTATCTCTGGTTTTGCAGGTTTGGCCAGGGAGAGTGTAGGATTCCTACACAGCCAGAGCCTCCACAAAACGAAAGCAAATGCAGAGGCTCCAAGCTTTTGGGGATGCGGGATGGTGGTGGTGGTTTTAGCATCCTCTTCTAAGGACAGACAGTGGCTGCCTCGCGCCCTTCAGTGCATACGCTGTGCTCGCTGCGCTGCGTGCAGACGCTGAATGCGTGTCCCTACCACAGGGGAAATAAAAAGTGCGCTCAGGAAATCGGGAGGTTAGAGGGGTGAGGTTTGGTTCCAGGTGGTCCCTGGAGCAGATTTCCTGTCCTGTCGTTAAGAACCAGCCGTCCCCTAATGCCTTTTCAAGATCCCCTAATCTCTGTCACCTTTTCCGAATGCCTGTCTTTTCTGTTCTCCCTTCCCCCTTCCCCCATACAAACATTTGGCTCTTCATCTCCAGGCTTGTGTCCAATCGCCCCTCGTTTTTCAGAGGCCCTGAGCAATATACAGTCTTTACGAGCCTTGCTTATCCTTAATCTTCTGTATTTATGCATTCTTTGCACCCAGAGGTTAGAGACGGGCTTCCTGGCCGTATGGGATAGACTCCAGTGGAGTTACTCTGTAGGGTTTCAGAGCCTGCATGACACACTCCTTGGGTCCTTGGAATATGTCATTGTTTCCTATTTCCTTCCCCCTTTTATTTTAAAGTTTATTTTTTTCCATAAAAGAGAGAGCGAGCGAGATAGGCACCCCCAGCAGGGTCTTCATGCTGGGCTGTCCCCCAGCCTCGGTTGGCCTAGGACACGCCTGAGGCACTCAGGAAGGTCCAGGACACAAACTCCAGATGCTTCCTGCACAGGCCCCGTTGGGTTACCCCTGTGCCGTGGCCCTTCGCACTCGGCAGCCAATATGTATTGAAGTTGCGTGGCTTCGGGGTGGAACGTAGCTGTCAGGGGGCACGGAAAGGAGAGAGACGGCACCACACAGGGCTGTGAGCGTATCTTGCCTGCTAAGCCATCCCGTCTTGAATTATTTTCCTCTGGCTTCGTGAGAGAACGGAGGTGACAGAGTTATCACCATGCTGTGCTAAGGGTGCAAGGCCTCAGGTGCTCGTGCATTAAAGGGCTCAGCACTGGAGCACTTATAGCAGCTAGGAAGAGCAGGGACAGGCCTAAACACCCAGCAGTGGGGATGTGGTTGAGGAAGGGTTCCGTTCACCATCGCGAAGGTGGGTGTGTAGTAGCAGGAGGCTGTCTGCAGTGTCAGTCAGAACTGTGTTCAGCTGCAGTAAGCACAAACCTGCCTCCCAGTGCCTGCATCAAACGGGGTTGGTGTGCCATGGCTTCCTACCGTATGGAGAGCCAGCAAAGCAGCTCGGGTCAGTTCTTGGGCCCACTAGGGCCATTGAGGAACCAGTTGCTTGTGTTCAGTGCTCAGTCTTTCTTAGTGGTGGACGTGTGTTTTCTAACTCTAGGCCTCCAGCTCAGGAGAGCAGAGTTAAAGCAAAAGGAAAAAGAACAAAAGCACACACGTGTTTTCTGCTCAGTTTTAAAGAACATTCCTGGAAATCCCACCCCCTGACTTCTATTATTCTTACACTTTATTGGGTACACTGTCACATAATTCCCCGACTACAAGAAAGGCCGAGGAATACTCATTTTGTGTTTTTGCTTGTTTTACTTTAGTTTTTTTTTAAACTTGCCTTAGGGTGTGTGCGCTCACCAGAGAGAATCAGAGAGATAGGGAGAGGGAGGGGCATGGTCGTGCCACAGTCCCTTCTTCTCCCCAGTCTGCTGGGATTCTGGGCACACATGAGCACGTGCTGGTGTGCTTCTCAAGCTGTGCGGGCTGAGACTCGAACTGTGTGATTGACCATGTGTGATCCAGCTGCTCTGACTGCCAGGCCATGGAGCAGGCCCCACTAGTTTGAGTTTTAAGACAGACTCTGACTCTGTTACGATCCTCCTGCCTCAGCCCCCAAGTAGCTAGGACTTCAGGCTCGTGCCATGATGCCCAGCTCTTCGAGTGGGCTGGGAATTGATGCCAGGCTTCCCGTGGGCCTCAGCGGCATTTCACCTGAGTGTGGCGCCGCAGCTGGGCCTGAGAAACACGCACCTTTAAACCAGGAAGGCTGCTGCCTCAGAATTGGGATTCATTAGAGCAAGAGAGAATGGAACAGGGTATGCAGCCAGCAAAGTCTGCCACAGTTGGGACCAGCGGTTAGCGTAATGGCTATGTTGCTGAATTCCCATGTAGTCGACCGTGGTTTGTGTCCCGGACCTGGTGGCTTAAAGCTCCTCCGGGTGCGTGTGCGTGCGTGCCCAAGACCCGAGAGGAGAATGGAGGAGAAGGGATTGCGGTGTGGCCATCCCCCCTGGCGGGTGATTTCTCGCTATTCTGTCTCTCTCAGTCTGTCGGCAAAAAAAAAAAAAAGCCTCTAAAAAAAAAGTCTGCCACAGTTTGCCCGCCCTCCACACACCTGTTTCCGTACACAGATGTGACGCGTCTTCTTCCCAGGGGAGGGAGCCACAAAGATTCCTCCCGTGATGGCAGCGGGGCTCGGAAGCCAGGACCACCCGCGACTGCGCCTGTTTCCCCACCAGCTTTGAACATGCCTGGTTTCTTGTGCTCATAAACTAAAAGACAAGTGGCCACCCCCGCAGCACAGCCAACATGCAGCGATGCGGGAGCAAGATAAAGCTGCCACCATGCAGGGAGGGCGCTGGGCAGGCAGCCGGCAGTGCCCGCTCACAGAGGACCACGTGGCGTCCACGGACGGCCAACGTGCTGTCCAAACAAGCAGGGAAAAAAATAAGACACGTGGAAGAATAGAAGGGAAAACATTGTCTTAGAAAAATTTAACCTATGGGACCTTTTTCTTTCTGTTGCATTTTCCTAGTTTTTCTATTTTAAGTGTCAATTTTGTAAACGGAAAATTCTTTTGTCAGTTACTGCATTTGTAAACCGTTCCCCCTGGTTGTATGGAGGACAGGAGATCAGAGATGTTACGCTACGCACAAGGTCGAGAACTAGGTGGAGTGGTGATTAAGGTGCTGGACTCCCACGTGGCCAACAGCAGTTCGAGTCCCTGACCTGGCAGCTTGAAAGTCACACCTGGCACATGTGTGTACGCCCAAAAGCCCAAAAAAATATGGAGGAGAAGGGACTGTGGTATGGCCGTCCCCGTGGGGAGCCATAATTTCTCACTTTCCCTCTCTTCATCTCTCTCCAACAAGCATACATGCCCTATGGCAAAAACCTAAAAAAAGCAGAAAAGAAAGAATTTCTGTCAAACATATGTACATGGTTGAAAACTCCACGGGCAAGTTTAACCTTATGATAAAAGACAGTTGTTCCCTGCTCTGGTTCCCCCTGCCTTCAGGCCTGATCGTACAGCAAAGTCTTTTTGTAGCTTTTATTTTTTCTTTTTTAAAGAACTATTTAATCTTATTTTTGAGAGAGAGATTAGACAGACAGTGAGAAATTCCCCCCGCCCCGGGGTGTGGGGGGGATGGCCACACTGCAGTCCCTTCTTCTCCAATCTCCTCTTGGGTTTTTGGGAACACATGCACACACGCCTGGCATGAATTTTAAGCCGCCGGATCTAGGACTCGAACTGTGGTCAACAATGTGGGAGTCTAGCAACGTAACCATTATGCCATCTGCTGGTCCCAATTATTATTATTTTTTAAAAAATTTGACCAGAGAGAGAGAGAAAGTGAGAAAACAATCCACCAGGTCCAGAACTCAAACCACATCAGCCACGTGGCGGTCGTCCGCCTTCACCACCATGGCACCCGGAGTCTTCAGACTTGGAGAACAGGAGTCTTCCTCTGCAGAAGCTGTAGGCTAGAAGGGAAGAACGTTCGAAATATTTGAATTGCTAATAACACAGCCACAGAAAGCAGACCTCCATCTGCAGAAGGACCCACCAGGTGGCGTTTGCCATTGCTGGGGGTGGTGACCTGATTGGGAGGACTGAGAGTAGTTTGGCTAATGAATCCATCCTGGTTACTGGGGAAGGCCATGAGTCCAGCCACGAGTGAGATCTGTCCACTCAGGGTGAGATCGGCCGGCAGTAAGTGCCGTGGTTTAGGACGTGAGCTCTGGGTCCAGGGCTGCGTTTGAAACCAGCTGTCACTTACCGGATGGGTGACGTGGGGTCTGTCTGCCTCGGTTAGTGCGGCTGTAAAATGGGGATCAGAAGTGTGTGAGTCAAGGAGCCCCTTGTTGTTTTAACGTTCATGGGTTTGTTTAAATTTCCTGATTCTTCGTGCCTTAATTTTGACATTGAATGTTTGTCTAAGAATTTATTGCAGTTGTGTTCAGACTTTCAGAACACAGTGATTTATTATTAGAATGCTTTAAACAGCTTGTTTGAATTGTGATCCACATAAAGACCATGCATGCATTGTGTCTCTTAAGCTTCTCTTCATCTGTGTTGCCCCTCCTTCTTTGTAATTTTTAAGTTTATTCATTTATTTCTTCCACGAGAGATGAATGGGTAGACACACAGACACAAGCCCCCCCCGCAGGGTTGCCTCTAAGACCCAACCCATCTCAGCTAGCCCGGATCATGGGCACGCGTGTGCCCAATGTGCTCAGGGGCTCCAGGATCCCAACCCTACCTTTCCTACGTGGCTCCAGGCGCATCACCACTGCGCTGTTGCCTAGCCCCTTAAAAAAAAATGTGGGGCCAGCAGGTGGTATGGTGGTTGAGGTGTTGGGCTCCCATGCGGCTGACCGCGGTTTGAGTCCCAGACCTGGAGGCATGCCTTCTCACTGTCTCTCTCTCTCTGGTGAGTGCACATGCCCTATAGAAGTTAAAAATAAGAATAATGATAAATAACATTAAGTAAATCTCTAAAAGAAATAAAAAATTTTTCACTCTCAGTTTGCTCGTTGAAGAACTTAGGATGCTTCTGGGTGTAACAATAGGCACCACGAGAGCAGGACTAAGCAGAACGGTTGGATTTACTGCAAGAGTAGCAGGGTCCCGTGAGCCCAAGAGCACAGGGCGCGGTGGCCACGGGAGCAGACCAGGCAGAGCTCTGCTTGCTGGCCCTGCTTCCCACTGCCCACCCCCCGTCTGCGCGTCTGTCTGTCTTTCCTTGTTGGTCTTGTTGCCCTCCAGTCCATCTGGCAGCAAACAGCCTGCAGCCACCCCTCTGTTCAAGGGACCAGCCAGGTGGAGGCCAGGTCCAGACCTATTGTGAATTCCAGAGAAGGAACTTGGGTCCAACCCTGATCCATGACCCTGTCATTGGCCTCCAGGGTCCCACTGCCCTGGCTGCATATCAGTGACAAGGGGGTGCACACCACGGTAGCTGCCCCTGCCTTGTAGGGTGGCCAGGTCAGAGGACAGGATGAGGGATGCAGGCTGTGGGGCACCGACAGAACCTGAAATGCTTGGCAGCTTCAGCAATGAAAGGCAGGAGGCCAACAGCTCTTGGAGCCAGGGGGTGACATCACGTGGTGGCACCATGTGGCACAGCACTGCGCTTCTCCCCGGGGGTAGTCAGACACAGTGCCTCAGCTGCTCACTCAGTTAAGCCTAGTGCCAGATCACCAGTACCTGGGCCAGGTGAGCACGCGTGGTGCTGCTACTTCTGCAGCGAGGCCTTGTCTTGGTACCCGAGCCTGCGTGCAGAAAACGCTGGCCTGGGAGAAATCCCTTCATGGTGGCCTCAGGCCCTGAACAGCACCCCGTGGGGATTTTGACTCCAGGTCTCCCATGGATAGAGCCAGTGGGATCTAATCAGGGAAGGATGCTCAGGAGCTCCCTTGGATGTCCCACCCTCTCCGAGTGTCTCTGGGCAGGCCCTCCGGGCTCAGTGCGGCAGCTCCGCCTGTGGTTCTGATTACAGGGAGCAAAGGTGAGCAGCAGCTGTCTGGGTCAGGCAGCGGGTACAGAGGGGGAAAAGAGCCGGCCAGATTGGTGAGGATAGATCGACAGGGTAATAGTCGAGGTCGCACCATGCTCTATCAGAATGTGCAGGAAGGGCTGTTAAATATAGGTTTACGTGCTCAGGGACAGTGAGGTCGATAGGCCAGGGGATAACTGCTGTTGAGAGGATAGTTTGTTACTCACAGTTCCCAAAAGGAGGGGCAAGACCTCTCAGAGAAAGCATAGGACTGGTCAGGAGGCAGGAGGAGTGGGGAGAAAACATGGGCAGAACCCTTTATTGTGGTATACAGTGGAAGGAATGGCTGAGGCAGGGTAAGCAGGTTTAGAATTGGTCAACTTGAATGATTTCAGCAGTCTCTGGGGCATGGGCACTGCCATAGTTGCCTGGCACCAGGCCCTGGGGTGATTAGGGCAAGGAGTATGTCCCAGAGTATAAACCTGATAGAGGAAGGGGAGGGAGTGTGGATTTCCTATGAAAGACGAGTGGAAGGTGAGTTGGTGGCTAATTCTAGGAATTAGCTAGGCCTGGAGGGGCAATCCTTCCAGGATCAGTAAGGCCTCAGGTGTCAAATCATCAAAAGTACATGAAGAAATTGGCCTAGCTACTGTGGTGCGGTGGTCACACAGTGTCCTCCAAGACTGGAGGCCGCATGGCTACTGTGGTTTGCCTGAAAACATGCCGTGTGCTTACATGCAGGTGCCCAGTATCCAGAGAAGCCAGGGGGTGGGAAAGGGGTTGTGGTATACTGAGACCCTGTCGAAGGTGTCTCCCTCTCTCCTTTCACACATGTGCTCACACGCATGCTCTCATTAAAAAAAAAAATATAGGAAATAAAAATCATGATTAACACAAGGCAATATCATCATGGGCATGGTAGTTTGGGGCCAAATTGCAAAGAATAGAGTGGTAGATGGGCTTTCCACCTATCCTGCCATCACTCTTCTACCCATCATCCACGTATCCATCTCCCCATTTATCCATCTGCACATCAAACCATCCATCCACCCATCCATCCACCCCCATTCACCCATTCATTCACTCTTCCATCCATCTTCCCATCTAACCATCCATCCACCCATCCATCCATCCATCCATCCTCACTCACTTATCCATCCACTCATCACCCACCTTCCCATCTAACCATCCATCTACCTACCTATGCACTATCTCTCCCTCCATCCATTCATCCATCCATCCACCCATCTATCCATCCCTACTCACCCATCCACCCACTCATCATCCACCTTCCCATCTAACCATCCATCTATCCACCTACCCATTTATCTGTCTCCCCATCCATCCATCCAGTTAGCATTCGTGGCTATACACCAGGCACTGGAAGGGAACAAGGTACAAGGATGTGTAAGACATTAATAAGGTCACACATTTGTATGTTCATTTGTTCATATATTATACCCTATACTCTTGGGCAAAGACGCTTGAGGTAGTGTACTTGATCCATAAAATAAGCCAAAACTAGAGCCAGCAGGTGCCATGAAGGTTAAGGTAATTGGATCTCACGTGGTCAACTCCATGATTTGAGTCCTGGACCCAGCTGCTTGGAAAGTCATAACAGGTGTGTGTGCATGCATGCTCAAAATCGCAAGAGAATGGAGAAGGAAAGATTACGATGTGGCCATCCCTCCAGGGAGTGATTTCTCCCTTTCCCTCTTTCTCCATGTGTCTCCCTCCAGTGAGCGCATGCACCTTACAGCCAAAACTAAAAATAAGTAAAGCCTTCAAATTATGTGTGTGTGTGTAATACATATATATGTGTGTGTATTTGTATATGTGTGTGTATATGTATATAAATCTTATATGTATGTATATATAAGAATCTGTTTTCTATTTCAAGGGACTTTTTTTCATGGATTGAAGTTTACAAAATATTAATGTCCAAGTACGTGGGCCACAGCCTCACCATGCATTTGTTAAAAGTTGGACGCTTCATGTTCAGTGATGAATTTTCTGACAGCAAAGTGAAAAATGAGCTAGGGCTGGTTATGAGATTCCAGCTGCCTCCGAGGGGAAAACCCAGATATTTGCAGCAGTCCCTGCCTTTCCATATTAGCATCTGTTCAGGAACCTGGCAGTGATAGCCATGCCTTATTTGAGTGTGTTGGTGTGTTTCCCTCTCTTACAGAAATGTGTGCATTCATTTTTCAAGTAGAAACCCACTCCTGACCAACCTGTGGCCTTGGCTTTCCTAGTATATGCGGAAGGGAGAACTCCAGTAGTCTTCCAAGAGAACTAACAACATCTTCTTCCAGATTTTTCAGCAGCCTGAAAATATTTATCAAGGCTCACCCGCCAGCACTGCCCGATGCGGAGTATTTCTGTGCGTGTGTAGTTTTCCTCTGCAGTGTTAAGATTGGAAGGAACTGGAAGTCTTTGACCAGATATTGAGCTATCTGCAAAACGAACTTGGAGATATTGAAAGCCTGTTCTGGGTGCCCAAGATGTGCTTTAAGAGGGGTCTCAATAGCTCAGACTTTGTCTCGTGGAAAAGGGAGATCCCACGGGGACAATAGGGACCAACAGGTAGGGGCTGGAGAATGACAGGTGTCGGTCTGACATCAGGGAGCTGGGCCATCGGGGCTGCCCCATAGCAGAATGGGCTGTCTGCAGAGGCACCTCGTCCTGGAGAGCATTCACGGGGGCTGCCAGACTGCCTTGACGGCGGGGTTGGGTGGGAAGCTTCTTTAAGGGCCTCTCTGATAAGAACTGGATCTCTGAATGCTCTCATGAACAGAAAAACTCCGACTTCCACGTGGTGCTGAGTAAATGAGAATATGATTCTTCCTGAACAAAATAGGATCTACTGAGACATTTTATCTATACTTAGGCTGGTTCAATTTTTTAAAAAAAGCCCTGTTTCTATTTAAACTATACAAAAGAAGAAAAAAGACAAGTGTACGGAGTTGCTTTTCTTCTTTTTTGCACTCTTGGATTCTTAAAAAAAAGGGGGGGGGGTAGCAATTTCAGTAGGAGAGGAATGAGTGACGGCTTACCTGGATCTGAAAAAGGCCAGTGTTGGAGACCTAGCATGAGGGCAAAGATGAGTTAAGTCCAGTTGCCCAGTTGTTGAATTTTCTTCCTGGTTCTGGTGATGGGAGGGCAAAATCCAAGTGGGTTTGTTTGATTTGCAAGCTTCCAACACTCAGTTTTTTCGCTTCTGTCCTTTCTCATCCACCTACCTGGACACGTGCACCTGCTGCCCCATCCATTGCCCTACTGCTATTTTATTTTCTTATAGCGGTACACAAATGGAAACAAATCCTGCCTCCTGAAGCCCAAAACAAAATTTTATTTTTTAAGAGGGATTTTTTGCTATAGGGCACGTGTGCTCACCTGAGGGACAGAAACAGAAATGAGAAAACATTTATCAAGGCTCACCCAGGGAGGATGGCCATGTTGCAATCCCTTCTCCATTCTCCTCTCAGGATCTTGGGCATGCACGCACCTGTGCCCATGTGAGTTTTAAGCCTACAGGTCTGGCACTCAAACCGCGGTCAGCCATGTGGGAGTCCAGCAATGCAAACATTATGCCATCTGCTGGTCCCACCAAAACTAATTTTAAAAGTTGGATCATGAGACCTGCTAGTGGTGGGGTGGTTAAGGCGGCTGGATCCCACATGGCGAACTGCACGGTTTGAGTCCCAAACTTGGCAGCTTGGGAAACATGCTGGGCATGTGTGTGTGTGTATGCTCAAAATCCTGAAAGGGGAGGGAGATGGCTGAGAAGTTATCGCCATGTGACTGTCCCTCGTGGGGAGAGGGGTGCTCTCAGTGTCTTTCTTCTCTCTTTCTCTCTCTCTCTGGCAAGCCCGTGCACCCTCAAAATTAAAAACAAAACAAAACAAAACAAAAAACCTTTGAGTCATGAGCAAGTCAACTATCAGTAAGATCTATTAGGTCGGAAAAGTCAGTGTTCATCTGTGTTTTTCTATGCAAAAATGCATCATGGCTTCCCTGACAGCGCAGTAGGATGCTGTCTTAGCTCAGGCGGTGAAGCTCATGGAGTCTACAGCAGGGCTGGCCAACTACGGCCCACCTGATCTCGTAAATAAAGCTTTATTAGAACAAAGCTGTATTAGTGCCCATTTAAGTAGTACTGTCATGCTGGTTTCATGCTACAGTGGCACATATGGCCTGAAATGTTTAGCATCCGTCCCTTGATGGAGAAAATTTGCCCACCCCTGACCTTGCACAATGGTTCTCAGCCCTGGCTCAGTCCCAGAATCACCCGAGGAGCTTTAAACATACAGATTCCCGGGCCCCCACCCCTTGGATTCAGATTCAGTTAGTCTGGACTGAAACTAAGGTATCTCTATTTTTCAAGGTTTTCTCAGGTGACTGTCAGGTGCACAGGGTTGAGAGCCATGGGCCCAGTTTAAATGGGGTTTTATGATTATAGAAATGGAATTTGTAATGATGTTACAGGGTTCCTATTCACTAATGATGATTCAGCCTTGACCTCAATGTCACAGTCATTGAGGGCCTAACTACGGGCGGTGGCACAAAGGAGATCGTGCAATGATAAAGTCACCTGGTGACCCTGGGGACTAAATCTCCTCAAAGAGGTTCATGTTAGGGTGAGCTCTGTGTGGGTGTGTGCGAGCGTGCGTGTGCATGTGTGCCTGTGTGTGCCCATGAGTGTGCGCATGCTTAGACCCAGATAAGCATGTGTGTGTAATTATATGTATACTTGGGTGTCTTGTGTGTGTAGTGAACTCGTTTTTGTTTGCAAATGGGTGCATTTCAAGGAGGAGCCGTGGCGTGTTCAGCATGGGTGTGTATCATGTTGACAAAGCTCAGACCCCTGCTTGGCGTAGGCAGCCTCTGTCTCATAGAAGTTAACATGAAATGTTGACAGCACTTGCTGCTCAAAATTGTGACACCTCTCGCCTTCCTCCATCACAGTTTCCAGTCTTCATCTCTCCTGCCCAGGGTAGGAATTTAAATTCACACTGGCATCCCTTCATCGCAGGTAGAAGTTGTACATGGGAATTTCAGGGTTGGTTTTGGCCCTTTTGCTTAGAGCAAATATTGACCCCTCTGCATTTTGCTGCTTTTGTCTGTCATGTGGACCCGACTGTCTCCTGCTCGGCCCAGCTGCTGTCCCCGCAGGGCCTGCCCTCCTGGTCGGAGTACCTGTCCACCAGCCATGGTGACTGACCCATCCTGGCTTGCCTAGGACGTCCCCGGTTTTAGCTCCAAATGTTGCACATTCCTGCATCTCCACCAGACCTGAGTAAACTGGGACAGATGGTCACCCTGGCCCTGGAGAATTTTGGAGCTGGTTGGTCTTCGCATGTACACAAAAACGTAACGATACTGACACGTGAAGGGTGGATGTGGGGCTTCATTAAAGACATATGTGCTTAAAAATGCAAAGCAAGGTCATTTGGTTTTGTGCATTTGATTATTTTCTTCTTTTTAAAAACAGTGAAGTGCAGGAAGTCAGGTTGATTCTTCTAGTTATGTTAGGCCTGTCAAGCTCTGTTCATAAGGGACAACACACCAGCCGGCCTTGACTCCGCAGTGAAGCCCACTGGGCGTGAAACAGAGGCTTCCTGAAGGGCTTCACTAGCTTGTTTGCTTTGAAGGGCTCCAGCCCGCGGGATGGTGCCATGGAGCGTCCTGGCTCACAGAGAGTGAGCTGTTCTGCCCTTTGTAGGAGCAAAGCACTTTCCCTCTCTGGGACTCAGTTTCCTCATCTACACGGGAACCACCATCACTCACCTGTCGAGGTTGTGAGGACTGTGAGGCTTCACTGCTGCTGACTCCTTTCTCCCTTCCTCCCTTGCACTGGGATGTAGTTCTCACTCACGGCAGGCATTAGCCAGGTGGGCAGCTATTACAATGACTCCAAAGTGACTGAGGCTCAGCCTCATGAAAATGCATTTCTCAAGCATCAGTGCATCCTCCCCAGCTGGCTCCAGTGGGTGACTCTCATTCACAGGGAGCTCAGGAGTCCAGATGCCTTCCCTCTGTGGTAGAGGCACTTCCAGGTCATGGCGGATTGTTTGTGAGGCTTGTAGAGGCCCAGGTCTGGAAGAGGAATGCCCAGAGCTCACTCACGCTCCATTGGCCAGAACTTGGTAACGTGACCCCACCTGTCTGCACGGGAAGCTGGGAGATGTAGTACAGCTGTGTTCCCAGGGGGAAAGTGAAACCGGGAACAGGGTTTGGCAAGTTTGTAGTAATCTCAGCCACAGGAAGTGTGGACCCCGTGGAGACCACATTAATGAACATTCCTCTGTTTCCAAAGCAAGAGGGTTGGGATTCTGCAAGTGGGTTGGGATTCGTTTTACACAGAAAAGGGGTCTGGCTTGCTATGACTTAGTTTAAATAAACTTAAAACAATTTATTTATTGCAGGGCTTATCAGAGCCTTTCATATACTGATCATAAATATCCATGAGAGGAAACGGTATGAAATATGTCCCAGACTTATTGGGCTCCTCTTTGGGGAGGCGCTTGAGAATGCACTCTGCAGAATACGGCTTGAAAAATGATGCTTTAGACATTACTCAAGTTAGTGGTCAGAAGCCAGCATACGCTTATAAAAATATTGATATTAAAAGAAAGTCACCCAAATTTGTGGTTTTTAACAGAGGTTAGTTGTGCAGGGTTCATGGGGTCAGGGGCCCGTAAGGCAAGTTCCCGTAGAATGTGACGAAGAGGTGCTTTTCTAGCTCCTTCCCATCACTTCTTCCCTCCTTGCTCACTTTTTTCTCAAACCGAGCAAAGGAAGCCCATGAGGACAAGGTCCAGGTCTTATTTACGGCTGAGTGTAGTCATCGGTGTCTGCGTACTGGATGGATGTGCGAATGATTTGTACAATACCACTTAACTCCCTGTCTCGGTGTCAGCTGGACGCTTCGAGGCAGTCAGCCTGGATTGGTCCTGTCACTCTGGCTTGCCCATCTGGGCGAATGTTAAAAATCTCTTTTCCTAAGCTTGAATTTTATGGCTGGCTGGCGTCATCTATCGTAAATCAAGGTGGGCTGAGGTTTAGCACTGAGGTTAGACAGAGTCACTCTCAGGAAAAACTAGACCAGGTTTATTATTTTATTTTAGTTACAGGCACCAGCCGTGTGTGTGTGTGTGTGTGTGTGTGTGTGTGTGTGTAGCTTAAAACTTAATTTGGTGTGTAATTGGGACTAGGTCTTTGGAGCCTTGGGTTATGTGTTTTGGAGCAGCCGAGAAGCAGGGGCTCGGCGGGGCAGGACATGGTATGTTAATTGGTGGCCTCTGGGACCTGTGAGAGAATTGGATTTAAGTCCCCAGT